CCCTCTGGGGTGGGGGTCATGGCCACCTTACCTGGAGCCCCTGTGACTGTCCATGGAGCCCTGGGCCACTTGACCCTGAACACCTCTTTTGGCCAAGTGTTTAGTTGTGATCAAGAGCCGAGGGGTTGTTTGGTAACCAGCAAATGTGCCGTCTGGGCTCTAAAGCAGCGAGCACGTGCCAGCGACAGGGTCCTGTGGATCAAGGTCAAGGAAGAAGACAGCAGTTGTGTGTTAAAAACGCTGAAATCACTGGAGGGGAATGTGTCCTGCCCTGTGATGTAGACACATGAATTGACTTGCAGAATGTGAATAATGTGCGTCTGCAGAAATAAGGGGGTGACAGGCATCCTTTATGTGTCCTTCCCTTCCCTCTGCTCCCTCACCTCCTGCTGCTCTGGGTCCTGCCAGCATCACCCCCTCCCTCCCCTCAGCTCCCAGAGGGACCCGCTGCCTGGCGATTTTCTGCTGTGTTCCCTGAAATCCTGCATGGATGATTCATGTGCTTCCTATGGGTGGAGGAACCTTGAGTTCCTGCCTGTTGCTGGGAGAGGGGTCCCTTTTCTGTGCCCGCCTCCCCGCTGGGCCCTCCCTCTTTCCTTCTGCCTCTGACCGAGGCTCCCACCTCAGGATGTGCTTCGGACACTTGCTTGACCATTTTATGAAAGGTTGCACTTTGTGTATTTCTGCACTTAAAAAACATCATGGTAAAATACACATGTCATAAGATGTGCTTTTCTGACTATTTTTCATCACGTGGTTCAGGAGCATTAAGCACATTCACATTGTTGAGCAACCCCACATCTCCAGAACACTCTCATCTTGCAGAACTAGACCCTGCAGACACACTAACTCCCCACCCCCGCCCTAGCCCCTGGCAGCCCCCTTTCTACATTCTGTCTTGGAATTTGATGACTTTCAGCACCTCATATAAATGGAATTATCTAGTACTTGTCTTTTTGTGACTGGCTCATCTCAGCAAAATGTCATCAAGGTTCATCCATGTTGTAACATGTGTCAGAATCTCCTTCCTCTTTTAAAGTGAAAGTGAAAGTGTGAGTAGCTCAGTGTCCAACTCTCTGAAACCCTGTGGTCTGTGGCCCGCCAGGCTCCTCTGTCCATGGGATTCTCCAGTAAGAATACTGGCGTAGGCTGTCATTCCCTTCTCTGGGAGATCTTCCCACCTCAGGGGTTGAATTTGGGTGTCCTGCATTGCAGGTGGATTCTTTACCTTCTGAGCCACCAAGGAAGAATGATGCTGTGTTGTGTGGATGGACCACGGTTTGTTTGTCTTTCTTTCACTTCTTGATGGGCGTTGAGTTGTTTCCATCTTTTGTCTACTATGAAAAAAGATATCTGTACTTTTAAATTGGGTCTGATTCATCAACTGACCTGCTTTAAACACTTAACAATATGATGAAAGGAATACATAAACTTTTCCAGAAGTATCAAACCTTAGTGTGTATTTGTGATGGGAAAGGTATAGAAAACCATAAAGAGGGGAATAAAGTAATGTGATTACTGTCTACAGACATACATGTATAGGCCACCATCAAAAAGTACAAATGATAAATGCTGGAGAAGATATGGAGAAAAGGGAGCCCTCTTATACTGTTGGTGAGAATGTAAATTAATGCAGCTGCTGTGGAAAACAGTGTGGAGGTTCCTCAGAAAACTAAAAATAGAGTTGCTACATGATCCAGCAATCCCACTCTTGGGCATATATCTGGAAAAAAGAAAACTCTAGTTGGAAAGGATACATCACCCCAGTGTTCATTGCAGCACTATTTACAATAGCCAAGACATGGAAGTAACCTAAATGTCCATCAACAGATGAATGGATAAAGAAGATATGGTATAAAAATACAATGGGATATTATTCAGCCATAAAAAGGGTGAAATAATGCCATTTGCAGCAACACGGATGGACCTAAAGATGATCACACCAAGTGAAGTAGATCAGACAGAGAAAGACGAATGTCATATGACTTTTCTTATATGCAGCATCTAAAAAAATGATACAAATGAACTTATCTACAAAACAGAAATAGACTCACAGACATAGAAGACAGACTTATGGTTAGCAGAGGGGAAAGCTGGGGGAGGGATAAATTGGGATTAACAAATACGCTATTATATATAAAATAAATAAAATAGATAAATAACAAGGACCTACTATGCATCCTAGGAAACTATTCAGTATCTTGTGATAATGTATAATGGAAAAGAATCTGAAAAAGAATATATATGTCTGAATCACTTTGCTGTGATTCAGATATATGTGTTGATTCACAGTGAATTACTCTGGAAACACTGAAAATCAATTATACATCAGTTAAAAAAAAACAAGAAGAGAGTACTACTCCCAGAAAAAAGATATATGTGTATACATGCAAATGCATCAGTTTAGTTCAGTTGCTCAGTGGTGTCTGACTCCTTGTGACCCCATGGGCTACAGCAAGCTAGGCTTCCCCGTTCGTCACCAACTCCCAGAGCTTGCTCAAACGCATATTCATAGAGTCGGTGATACCATACAACCGTCTCATCCTCTGCCGTCCCCTTCTATTGGTGATGCCATACAACCATCTCATCCTCTGCCGTCCCCTTCTCCTTCTGTCTTCAATCTTTCCCAGCATCAAGGTCTTTTCCACTGAGTCAGTTCATCACATTGGGTGGTCAAAGTATTGTAGCTTCAGCTTCAGCATCTGTCCTTCTAATGAATATTCTGGACTGATTTCCTGGTTTGATCTCCTTGCAGTCCAAAGACTCTCATGAGTCTTCTCCAGTACTGTAGTTCAAATGCATCAATTCTTTGACACTCAGCTTTCTTTATGGCCCAACTCTCACTTCCATATATGACTACTGAAAAAACCATAGCTTTTAGACCTTTGTCGGCAAAATAATGTCTCAAATGCATATATTTTAAGTAATCTTGTCATCAAATGGACTAATAATATGCAGTTTTATATGTTGTTATATGTTGTTCTTTTCACCTACAATGTCATATTATTTTTTGATTATTAAATATTCTTTTTTGTTTGTTTTTATTTCCTTCTTTTTTTGTTTTTTTATTTCCTTTTAAATAATCTCTGACAATATGATTTTTTTCTAATTTTTATGGATGAGCAAGAGATTATTTAACATTCTCATATTCTTGAACATCTGGTGGTTTCTTACTTTTGTCTGTTATAAATAATGTTCTAATGAGTATTCTTGTAAATAAAGCTTTGCTTCCATCTTTGATTATTTAGAGTAGGACACGACTGAGTGACTGAACTCTTAACTCTTGATTATTTTGCTAAATAGATTCAAAGGTGGCATTGCTGGGGCAGACGGTGGATATGGATTTCTTTTTCAAATGTTAAGCTTTTTGTTTTGTGTTGCGATAGAGCCGATTAACCATGCTGTGGTAGTTTCAGTGAACAGGAAGGAACTCAGCCACAGTGTACATGTATCCATTCTCCCTGACACCGCCTCCCATTCAGGGTGCCACATGACGTTGAGCACAGTTCCCTGTGCTCTTCAGTAGGTCCTTGTTGGTTATGGATATGTATATTTTTACATTCTACACTCTAAGTGTAGATACACTCTAAGTTACAGAGACAACCGCCTCTCAGCTGCAGTGACTGATAACTTTCCAGTAAGATAGTGTTCTTTCTGGCATGGTTTCATCAGCACTGCGTCTCACATCAATTGTTTTTTTTTTTAAATTTTGGGACTGGCTTTAAAAAATCTAAGACCACAGATCGCCAGTCCAGATTGGATGCATGAGACAAGTGCTCGGGACTGGTGCACTGGGATCACCCAGAGGGATGGGATGGGGAGGGAGGTGGGAGAGGGGTTCAGGATGGGGAACACATGTAAATCCATGGCTGATTCATGTCAATGTATGGCAAAAACCACTACAATATTGTAAAGTAATTAGCCTCCAACTAATAAAAATAATTGGGAAAAAAAAAGAAAAAAAAAGATCCTAGAATAAAAAAAAAATCTAAGACCTTGTACCTCAATATTTAAATAATCATAAAGGTTTAGGAAGAGACAGAGAAGACCAAAACCAGAGAGATGACACAGATGGGGATTTAAAGGGGCAGACGCCCCCTGGGGGTGTGTTGTAGGGGCAGCTGGCTTTGCCTTCTTCCTGCTATGGTGGCCTTTGTTCTAGGGCCCGTGGAGAAGCCTCTCCAAATAGGCATGATGCTCCCCGTTGGAGGCCGGGTTTCCACTTACCTGCTCAGCGTGGATGCTGGGCTGGATACCAGGGGCTGCCCTCCCTTTCTGTCCTCACCCTCATGGAGCTCACGGTCTGGGTGCTTCTCGATAGGGATGGGACTTCCCTCTCATCTTCCCAGCCCAGCCTTTGTTTCTGCTTATCGCTGTGCCATGCTCACACATTTGCCTGAGTGTTTCCACATGGTTCAGGGTGTCGTTTCTGTCGGTGACTTGCTCAGTTGTTTCTGACACTTGGGACCCCATGGACTGTAGCCTGCCAGGCTCCTCTGTCCACGGGAAGAATATTGGAGTGGGTTGCCATTTCCTCCTCCAAGGGGATCTTTCCCACCCAGGGATTGAACCTGCGTCTCTTGCATCTCCTGCATTGCAGGTGGATTCTTTATTGCTAAGCCACTGGGGAAGCCCATCGTTCAGGGTAAACATAAGGAAATGAGAAATGACACAGTTGGCCATGTTCTCACTGGACAGGAAGCCGTGGGGAAGGGAACAGATGTCACCTTGCCTCTGGCAGCCTGTGCGCCCTGGATAGCTGAGTTAGGAAATTTGTTTTTGGAAGACATTTGGGGAGGAATTTGGACCAAATGAAATTTGCACTCATTTGATCTGTTTAGCATCTGGGCTTGGGCTGACGGGGCCTCTGGCTCTGAGTCCTGTCTGAGCGATGCCCACACCTTCTCGGTGCTCAGCCCTTGGCCTGGACCCCCATGGGCGAGAGGGCCCTTCGGTGGTTGTGTTTCCACGGGTCATCCATCTGAGCCTCTCGTGTCCAGGAGATGCCCTCCGGAAGCCCCGCTTGCAGAAGTCTCTGACGTGCTACCTGGACGATGTGTTCTTCACGCTGTATCCCTCGCTGGAGAAGTTCGAGGAGGAGCTTCTGGAACTCGTGATCAGCGATCGCTTCCGGGAGGTACAGTCCAGGGTTGGGGAGTTTAGTCTGAATGGTGGGGAGCGAACAGCAGGCAGACTGGGAGATGCCGGCCTCCTGAGCCCTTGATGTGGGTGGTCACAGGGATGCCCCTGTTTTTGTCTTCTTGTCTCTTTGTGCCCAAAGAGGGGCACTAGCCCATTGTCTTGACTTTACTGCTGAGAGAGTGCTGTTAACCTGAGACATTAATTGACATTCACTTTGACATATCTTAGGGGCTTTCCTCGTGGTGCAGTGGTAAAGAATTAGCCTGCCCACGCAGGAGATGTGAGTTTGATCCCTGAGTCAGGAAGATCCCCTGGAGTAGGAAATGACAACCCACTCTAATATTCTTGCCTGGGAAATCCCATGGACAGAGGAGCCTGGTGGGCTACAGTCCATAGAGTCACAAAGAGTCGGACACGACTGAGTGACTGACACACACACACACACGTTAATGTATCTTATGTGTGTGTGTGTTGCTCAGTCCTGTAAACTGTATGCGATCCCATGGACTATAACCCGCCAGGCTCCTCTTTCCATGGGATTCTCCAGGCCAGAATATGGAGTGGATTGCCATGCCCTCCTCCAGGGGATCTTCTCAACTCAGGGATTGAACCCAGGTCTGCTGCATTGCAGGTGGACTCTACTGTCTTAGCCACCAGGGAAGACCTAATGAATCTTAATCACTCCTCATTTAAAAGTGAATTAAATCACCAAATGAGCTTAGGGAAACCTGTAAAATAGTCTACATTTACAAGGGACATTTTCAGAATATATGAGGGTATTTCCAACGAGATGACTATAAATTTCAACCACTTTGGCTCACTGAAGTGGTTTTCTGGGAGGGGCACTCCCCCAGGCACTGCCCAGGTCTGCCTGCCTGCATGACACCTTGTCCCCACATGGGCCCATGAGCACATGGCCCACTTTCCCGTGCATTCCTCATCCGGATCCTTGCACAGTCCCTCTCAGGCTTCAGTCTCAGATCTGCTATCCTACCCAGCCACCCTGCCAGAGCTGCGGGCAGCACCCCCATCCCCCCGCCCCGCGAGCTCTCTGAAGCATCACTCTGCTTTGTTTCTCTGGGTGCTTGGCCGTGGAGAGGACCTGGTGCACTTGCCTGTTAACTGAGGGACTGTCAGTCTCTGTCTGGAGTATTTGCACCAGGAGGACAGGGACTTGGTTCAAGTCAACACTGCACAACACTGCACCTGATGTACCCCAAACAGTTGACATGTTGTTTAGTCTCTAGGTTGTGTCTGACTCTGTGACCCCATGGACTGCAGCACGCTAGGCTCCCCTGTCCTTCAGCATCTCCTGGAGTTTGCTCATATTCATGTCCAGTGAATTGTTATTTGTGAGAATGAATGATTCAGTCACCTGGCGCCCATCCTGAAGTTAGCAAATTATGAAGCTTGCAATGATTAATTGCATACACACACAAATGTGTGTTTATGCATGAATAAGGTGGAATTTTTTAAAAGATGGACTCTTTTTTTCTGCTCTCTACCCACTCTACTCCAATATTTTGGCCACCTGATGTGACTCATTGGAAAAGACTCATTGGAAAAGACCCTGATGCTGGGAAGGATTGAAGGCAGGAGAAGAAGGGGGTGACAGAGGATAAGATGGTTGGATGGCATCACCGACTCAATGGACATGAGTTTAAGCAAACGCCAGGAGATGGTGAAGGGCAGGGAAGCCTGGCATGCTGTAGTCCATGCGGTCACAAAGATTCAGACATGACTTAGCGACTGAACAGCAACCCATTCTTGAAAATGTCGCTCCGTGTAACATAGTCCTAGAAGAAACAGAAATGCAAAGCAGAGAACTGAAACAACAGCAAACATTTTCTTGGTGTAGTTTCTGCTGTTTTCTTGTTGCTCAGAGTAGACTGCCTATATGACTACTGAGATGTTTAAGGGTATCATTGTTGAATTTTGTATGTTCCCATAAAGATCACTTTATTACATATTTTTACTCTCTTTGTATTTTTGTTCCCATTCAGTCGGTAGATAGTGTTTCTGCCCCCATTTTATTCTCATTACTGAAATACTAATGGGCTGCATTTAGGTCAGTTCAGCATGATTAATGAGCAATGAAGAAAACTCAAAAATTCAGGGATCATTTTGCACCAATCACATAATTTAATAAACAATAATATCCTGGAGGAATATCCTTGCCCATTTGTTAGCATGCCTGTACATTTTTTGTTAAGATGAAACACTTTAATATCCAGAGATAACTTTGGGGCAGATTCCATTTTTATTGGATTATGATTACTGCTGCCCAATCCACCCCAAGTCTCAGGTGTCTGAGTCGGGGGAGGGCAGAGGTGTTGACACTCTCTGTGTTCAGCCTCTAAGCACCTCTGTCATTGTGCCTTTGCCTGCCCTTGACTCAGGGGGCCTCTACACCCCAGAGCCTCAGATTCTGTTGGAGGAGCCGGGTCCCCTTGTTGCTAGTTTGCTGCATCTTGAGAATCATAGCTCAGCCTTGGAAAGTGAGAGCTAGCTGATTTGGGAATCTAGGGGGCAATTCCTCTACAAGGTGATGCTATTTGAGGAACCCCTAAAGTACCAAGAAAGTGCCCTAAGGCCAACCCACCCTGATTGGATGGGACTTTACTAAGCTCCTTGGGCGGGCTTCCCTGGTGGCTTAAATGGTAAAGAATCCACCTGCAGTGCAGGTGACCCAGGTTTTATCCCTGGGTTGGGAAGATCCCCCTGGAGAAAGGAATGGCAACCCACTCCAGTATTCTTGCCTGGGAAATCCCACGGACAGAGGAGCCTGTCTGGCTACAGTCCATGGGATTGCAAAGAGTCAGACATGACTGAGCGGCTAACACTTTATCATATTTTCACTAAGCTCCATCTGGTCTGGAATGTCTGACACCTCTAGTTTTGTCTCCCTGTCGGCCTCTCTGCTGGGGGCTTTTCTGGCGAGCTCCCGCCCCTGCTCTGCGCTGGCCTCACTCTGTGCTCCTCCTAGGCGGGCAGCCCGCTGGACGTTGGCGCCCTGGAGATCCTGGAGCGGCGCCTGTGCGTGGGCGTGCACAATGGGTTGGGCTTTGTGCAGCGGCCACAGGTCCTCGTGCTGGTACCCGAGCTGGAGGTGGCCTTGACACGCTCTGCCAGCTTTAGCCGGAAGGTCGGCTCCTCTTCCAAGGCCAGGTATATCCCCCTGGGGCCCTGGGTTTGGCCCCCTGTGGAGTTGGGCATCGGGGGTGGGCACCCGACCAGGGATCAGAGTGAAAGGCTGTCGCTCTTTCATGTGAGGGATGCACTTGCCCAGCTGGGTTCTTCCCTGGTGCTTCTGTTTCCTCCCGCTCCATCATCTGGTCCACAGCAGACCTCAGCATCCTGCCGTTGGAAAGATCCTGTTTTTGTGCCCTGATGGTTTTGGGGTTAGTGTTACAGATGCTTCCAGCTGTGGACCCCCCACACACTTCCCTCCAAAACTGTCCTGTGACCCTCACGTGATGGGGAACTGGAGGGCAGGAAGTTCTGCTGCTTGGTTCAGTCACAGGCTCCTCAGATGACCATCAGAGATGTCCCCCAGGGGTGCCACATGTGAGGCTGGGCAGAAGCTGACCTTGGAGGGGGCGCCTTGCTGGAGACCCTCCGTCCTCCCATCTCCAGTGCTGGCAGTCAAGTATTGACTGTGGCACCTAAAAAACGCTCTGGTTTGGGACATTACCTTGGTGGCCAAACGCCCAGAAGAGCTTGGGGGCAGTGCTCAGCGGGACTCATGTAGCAGCAACACCAGGGGCCCCAGGGCCTGAGCTGATGAGGGGTGCTGGGGGCCGGGCAGGGGGAGCCACCGCCTGACTCACCCCTTCTCTATGTTCTCGGCCCAGCTCTGGAAACCAGGCTCTGGTCCTGAGAAGCCGTCTCCGACTCCCTGAGATGGTCCGTCACCCCGCGTTCGCCATTGTCTTCCAGCTGGAGTATGTGTTTAACAGCCCCTCGGGGGCGGACGGCAAAGTAAGAACCACTGGGTTCCCACCCAGCGATGGGCTCCGAGCACAGAGGATAAGCATAGTCACCAGTAATATTCTTTTGGTTAAAAGCAGTGTGATTATTATTAATGGTGTGGAGAACAAGCATGGAACATGACTAGAAGTCACTTCTTTCTGGTGATAGCTCTGTTCTGATCATTTCCTTCTTTATGGAAACAGTATGTTCTGCTGGCAGATGGTGTGAATAGTTCAGAAGGCAGCAGGCTTCATGATACCATTAGTTCTAATTATTGAATCAATAATTATTTTGAAAAAATGAGGCCATTTTAGTGCATTTTTCAAATGATACGAAGTGTGGTAAAGCTTGAATCTGCACAAGAGATGGATATTTTCTTTGATTGGACCTTGTATGTGCCTGTCTCAGAACCAAGAGCAAGAATTTATAGGCTTCAGTTGGAGAAAAGGTAGCAAAGAGACATCATTTCCATCATTGATACAGATTTTTTAGAAAATCCAAACCATGCTATTCTTAAGATTCAGGTTTTTGGTTGAAAAAGCAAATATCATTATTTATTTATTTTTAAAAAATTTTAAAACTTTGATACTGGAGTATAGCTGATTAACAATGTTGTGATAGTTCCAGTTGGACATTGAAGGGACTCAACCATACACATACATGTATCCATTCTCCCCCAAACTCCCCTCCATCCAGGCTGCCATGTAACACTGAGCAAAGTTCCCTGTGCTGTACAGTAGGTCCTTGTTGGTTTTCCATTTTAAATATAGCAGTGTGTACATATCCATCACAAACTCCCTAACTCTTCCCTCCATTCTTCCTTTCTGGCAACCATAAGTTCATCCTGTAAGCCTGTGAATCTGTTTCTGTTTTGTAATTAAGTTCATTTGTATCATTTCTTTTTAGATTCCACATATAAGGTATGTCATATGATATTTATTCTTCTCCTTCTCTGTCTAACTTACTTCCCTCCAGTATGACAATTTCCAGGTCCATCCATGTGGCTACTAGTGGTATTATTTCATTCTTTTATGGCTGAGTAGTATTCCATTGTATATATGTACCACATCTTCTTTATCCATTCATCTGTCAGTGGATATTTATGCTGCTTTCTTGTCTTGGCTATCGAAAATAGTCCTGCAGTGAACACTGGTGTGCATATGTCCTTTTGGACTAAGTTTTTCTCCAGGTATATGCCCACGAGTGGGATTGCAGGGTTATATGGTAGTCGTGGTAGTGTTAGTCACTCAGTTGTGTCCAACTTTTTGCGACCCCCTGGACTGCAGCCCACCAGGCTCCTCTGGTGGGATTCTCCAGGCAAGAATACTGGAGTGGGTAGCCGTTCCCTTCTCCAGGGTACCTCCCTGACCCAGGGATTGAACTCGGCTCTTCTGCATTGCAGGCAGATTCTTTACCATCTGAGCCACCAGGGAAACATAGGGTAGCTCTACTGAAAAAGGAAAGATCATTTAACAAGCAAATTAGGAATAACTAAAGGCCACAAGACGCCTTCTCTGGTGATCAGTCTGCTTGCATCTGTGTGCAGCTGATGGAGAAACAGGGGACAGAGGGTGATCCTGGGGGCCTTCGGAAGGAGAATGGGGTGTCAGCACAGCTGCTATGTTAGTTCCTGGTCCCCTCTGATGTCTGTTCCCCGTCGTGTAGTCAGGTGAGCTGACCCAGAGGCAGGTGTTCTGAGTGCAGCCGAACCCGAACGAGTGATCTCCATTGTTCTCACAAAGCTGTTGTTTCCAACTCTGCTTTTCTTACATGTTTCCAGAAGTTTCAGCCAACATGCAACTCTGTGCAGATAAGCGTGTCTGCATGGGGTGGGCAGAATTGGCTTAGGGTGGGGCTACAGCAGGAGGGAGGGGCTTCAGGGACTTCCCCACCCTGGAGAGGTGCAGGGTACCCCTGCTGTCTGGGGCGTGGGCTGGAGTCGATGCAGACGGAACCCCTGGAGGAGCAGCAGGCCTGATGCTTCCATGGGGGGCTCCATGCCGCTCACCACTCATTTACATGTAGATTGTGTCCCCTCGAAAATATTAATTATAATACACTTCCTATTATAAAGTCCACGTGCTGAAACTGATATGACTTACCCAACACTTGATTATTATTATTTTTTAACTCTTCATTGAAATGCTCACCGGCTGGCAGGTGGGTCCGCCACGCGTTGTTGCTTTGTGGAGCTCTTGGAATGTGGCTTGTAATAGCTCATCAATTCTTTTTGATGTGGAGGTTTATCTTAACACGGAATATTGGATTCCATTTTACTGTCATCAAGTGTACTTTCTTCAGTGTAATCTGGAGAGGAAATGTTCTGGCGTCTGAAATGATTTTCTGCACAAATTACTTGCTGCGTGAAGCAGCGAGTATGGGGTTAGCATTCTGGTGGTGAGCGCTGACTCAGGCATTCCCGTCACGACCAAACTTAGATGTAGCGGAGAAGACAGCCCTGATGCTGCTGGCCTGGGCTCTCATTCCCTCCGGCGTGTCCCAGGAGGGGATGCAGCCACGGGAGCTCCTGCAAGGTCAGGGCTTGGCCTTGCAGGGGGCGGGTCGCTGCCGGCTTGCTCCTGCTCCTCCTCGCAGTCCATTATGGAGCGTGTTTTCGGGTGCATTCAGCCTGCAAATCCCTTTTTCCGTTTTCTTTCACTTTAAAAAGCTCTGTGGACATTCCAAGTGTCAACAAAAGCAGTGTTGTTCAGTTGCTAAGTCTTGTCCGACTCTGTGACCCCCTGGGCTGCAGCAGCATGCCAGGCTGTTCTGTCCTTCACTTATCTTGCGGAGTTTGCTCATATTCATGTCCACTGAATCGGTGATGCCATCCAACCATCCCACTTTCTGCCTCCCTTTTTTACTCTTGCCTTCAATCTTTCCCAGCCTCAGGGTCTTTTCCAGTGAGTCAGCTCTTTGCAGCAGGTGGCCAAAGTACTGGAGCTTCAGCTTCAGCATCAGTATGATTTTGTGGGGATCACAGACATTCAGTCCATGACATCATGTAAATGCTAAAACATGTTTTGATGTAGTTAAATTTATCAGTCTCTTCTTCTCTTGCATCTGGATTTTGAATTATAGTGAAAAAGCCTTTCCCTACTCCTATAGGAGAATTCATCCATGTTTTCTCCTGGTATGGGTGCAGTTTCCATGTTTATGTTTAGATCGCATTTGTGGTGTGAGGAATAGATCTCATTTCATCTTTGTACAGTGGCCATTCAGTTGTCCTGATGCTACTTATTATAGCTACTTATTATATAGCATATATAGTCCTTTGTGTCCAGTGATTTTAGCTTCTTTCAATCATACACGAGATCTCTGTTTAGGAAATGGCTACCCGATCCTATACTCTTGCCTGGAGAATCTCATGGACAGAGGAGCCTGGTGGGCTACAGTCCGTGGGGTCACAAAGAGTCAGGCACAACTGAAGGACTGAGCGCACACACCCCTCCACCCGTCCCTAGACCTCTGTTCTGCCGGGGGCCGCTCTGTCTGTTCTGTGCTGGGAGCACAGCATAGTGGTGGGGGCCCGCGGCTGCTGGGTCACTCGGTGGTGCAGCAACCTGCAACCCCTTCCCTTCATGGCTCCTATAGCTCTGCCTGCATTTGCTTTTCCTAAGAAACCTCAGTATCAACAGGTCCAGCTCCGTAGAGAGAGTTTATTGGTGTTTTTGGGAGTGCATTACATTTATTAACTAACTAGAGAGAATTGACGTGTTGTGGAACTTGTGATGTCCTAACTGGGCAGAAGGGAAGTCTCTCTGCTTGTCCGCTTCTGTTTTGGTATATTTGGGGGTGATTTTAAAATAGGATTGTTTGTGCTCAGATGTGTCTTACTCTTTGCAAGCCCATGGATTGTAGCCCGCCAGGCTCCTCTGTCCATAGGATTTCCCAGGCGCAAATACTGGAGCAGGTAGCCATTCCCTTCTCTAGGGGATCTTCCCAGCCCAGGGATCAAACTTGCATCTCCTGCATTGGCAGGCAGATTCTTTACCACTAGCATGGCCCGGGTAGCCCCCAGATGGGTTTACAGTGTAGATTTTAAACAGCTTGAATAGCTCTTACTAAGTTGATTCACAGATATTTAATTTTTGTGCTGCTGTTTTAAGTGGAATTTTCTCTCCTATGTATTCTAACTTAACACCATGGGTTTTCTTTTTGTGTATAGTCATTAAACAGTTTTTTTTTTTTTAATCAGCACCTTCAATAGCTTTTGTCATATATCTCACTGTTTTTTTTATTTTTTTCAATATTCATTTATTTGGCTGTGCAGAGTCCTAGTTGCGACATGTGGGATCTTTAGCTGTGACATATGGGACCTAGTTCTCTGACCAGGGATGGAACCTGGGCCTCCTTGTGCTGGGAGTGCGGAGTCTTAACCACTGGACCACGGGGGAAGTCCCTCTCACTGTTTTTTAAATTACACTTTATTTTGACATCATTGCAGGTTCACATGCCATTGTAAGAAATAAGCAGAGTGATCCCATGTCCTTTTTCCAGTTGGCCCCAGTGGTAAAGCTGTCTTTTGGCTTTAAGTCCAGCTGGCCCACTTCTTCTTTCAGGCCTTGCTGTTCTGCATGGCCTCTGCCTGGCTGACCTTGGGACTGCTCCCCTTGACCCTATCCCCTGTGTCCCCCTCGCCTGTCCTGCGTGTTTCTGTGTTGTCCACTCCCCTCTTGCTGTGCTCAGAATTTCTTGGTGCTCTAGGGGTGGAGTGCTCTAGGCTGTGGGCAGCTTCAATTCTTCCTCCAGTGCAGGTGAGCTGCCTTCTCCTGAGACACCTAGGAGCCCTTCATAGAAAAACTAGGACTGGGATAGCTGCTACACCTACATCTCAGGCTGTGGGGTTCCCTGCATTGAGGTCACAGCCCCGTGGAGTAGAGGGGCCATGCCCATGAGAAGGGGTGCCAGGTTGCTAAGCCTGAGCCCCATTGTCACTGGCTCTGTAGGACCCAGTGGGAGATACGGGGAAGGGAAGCAGACCTAGGCAAGGGGCAAGTTCTCTGGAG